GAAGAAACAATAAAAAAGGATTGTTACTAATTCGCAAACTCACATCCACGACACAAACAAATGTAGTCGGTAAATAACTCAATACATTGTATTAGGACACGTCATACAACAACCTCCTCCACAAAGCAGCTTGATTTCATCAAGACACAGAGTTTTTTATTATAAACTATTCTTGTTTTCTGATTCTTTTACAGATAGTGGACCTTTTGAATGATCTATATACGTGCTTCGATGCAATTATCGATAACTATGACGTTTACAAGGTGAGATCTTACCATTCAGTTATTCACGGGATTTGATGTATGTATTGTTAGTTTGGGTTTTACAAGGTGATATAATTAATGCGTTCGCAATAATGAAGTTAGAGGTGTATTTTGAACGTATTTACTAAACAGGATTTATTTGTATAGCTGCACCGTTTATTATAAGTTAAGAACTTAAATACATCATTATTATTTGTTACGAAACTAAGATTTTTTTAAAATTCTGCTCTTAGGTTGAGACGATAGGAGACGCGTATATGGTGGTGTCAGGGTTACCTGTTAGGAATGGCGACCACCATGTTTGCGAAATAGCCAAGATGTCACTGACCTTGCTCGAAGCAGTTAATACATTTAAAATCAGACACATGCCAACAGAACAGTTGAAATTGCGAATAGGTGTTCATTCAGGTTTGTTATTGATAATACTCGCTTATAAATTAGATGTTGATTGAACTATGAAAGAATGAATGTTCGGGACATACATCGATCAACAGTTCACCGGATTTATTATATTATGCTTCTGAATACATACGATTTGATAAAACAATGAACTAACAAATGACAAACACAAGAATATTATTCAAATTTAAACAGTAAGGTTTCAACAATACACATTAATGTATTCTCTACTCTGAGTTATATAAAGTACATATAACTTTGGAAGTGAGTTGTCATGGTGACATATGGGTGTGTATCAGTTTTACGTGTTTTTACGTGTTAAATTTTTAATTCTTATTAACACAGATATATACTACGCCAACTATGTCATATCGTGCAAGGAAGGCAGTTCGGACTAAATTGTGACTTATGTATTCATGGAGTGTCATGGTTTCTTATCAATCATTAAAAATATTTTCGAACTTTCCATACTTTACGAGCGAATATACATGTCAATCTGAAGTAAACTCTTTATTTTTATCACGAAAGCTTGTTTAAGGTTGTTGTCGCTGCCAAAAAATACATAAACAAGTGAAAAGCCGTGAACTACACTCATACATCGGTCTAGGGGCTGTTTACGTGTGCATGTATATTCTGTTACTTTGAATGGAAAAATAACAGTAGCACTGAAAACGGTGCAATATATATATTTTTAGGTCCCGTATGTGCAGGTGTGGTTGGTCTTAAAATGCCACGGTATTGCTTGTTTGGCGACACGGTTAACACCGCATCCAGGATGGAATCGAATGGCGAGCGTGAGTAAACCTTCTATTTAAAGATACTGATATATGCTATTTAAAGATGCTGAATAGTAAATTGATTGATGATGAAATAGTAAGACTGGGTACTGTCATTGTTTCTCATCCGGGCGACTAAATGTGGTACAATATTGCTAAGGAAAATAGGGCATCAACAATGCTAGGGTGGCTGTGCTAGGATCTGAATGTGATATTGCGGAGACGTGAGTCTGAATAAACAAATATCTCGTTCACATGCCTTGTAACACGTACTTGATAAGAATTGTTTTTATTATTATTATTATTATTATTATTCAACATTTTCTTCTGCTATTTCAGCACGCAAAATACATATTAGCGTTACCACAGCAACGCTTCTCAGTAAATTCCAAGAATTTGAATTAACGCTCAGAGGTGAAGTCAAAGTAAAGGCAAGTATCATTTTGTTTATAATCTGGTAGAGTTTTAACGCATTACGTCACGGTGTTATCTGGACCACTTGTGACGAGCACAACAAATGTACAAGTACATTATTTGCACGTAGCGCTTTAAAGCACGGTCAATTTGTTACAAGTAACAAAATAATAATATTTTAAAACGTGGTCGTCTATTAGTGATCTTTTCCTCGTCAATGACCGAGTTTTTATGATAAATGTTTAGCTCAAGATGTCATATGGTTATTATGACGCATATTCAAATATATTGTACACAATTTATTTTTCAAATAGGATCACAAACAAATATTTTTGTTTATAATTATTGAAAGATATATGCTAGTTGGTTCTTTGCCTAGCAATTGAGGGCGCACTAGGAAAATAGTACATCGTATTAACGTATGTAAAAACATGAAAGGACACTTAATTGTTTATATTTATGTCAACAGGGCAAAGGTTCCATGACAACATACTGGCTAATATCTTATAAAGATCCTGACAGAGGAATTAGTAGCGTCAGAAGTAACGTAATATTGAACAATCTGAACTCATCGTGTTGTAAATGACTGTATCGATTCACCCATTAAGTTGGGCAATCAAACCCGGAATTGTATCGGAATGTCACACGTGACCAGGGATTTGTCTCGACGTTTATATTACCCACAATGCCTGAAAGATAACGACATGGACAACATTTAAGGGACGGGACCAAACATATCTGGTTTCCAGCGCCCTTGTTGCAAAATACTGTGACCCTGTGAAAACACCACTGGTTATTTTGCGTGTAAATACATATATTATTCCTGAAGACAACGTGTTGAAAATTGCAAATAGTCATAATGTACATACTTCATTGCGACACTCAATCGAGTACGTGTGTCACCATAAACTACGCATTTTCATAACGCCTTATTTGTTCTTGTGAACATAATATGCCATTCATCCAAATATATTGTATATTGTTGGTTTTGAAATAAATGAGTCTTGATATTACACTAAGGAACGAGATTGAACACTTAACACATCACCACAACGAATACCCTCATTTTACCTGCACTATATATATATATTATACAGGTGGGTGAATTGTATACCTTCATTAATTAAAGCATAACTAGATACTCA